AAGCAAAACTAGTGAACCACATATATATATATATATATATATATATATATATATATATATAATATGCACACACACACACATATATAAAGAGAGAGAAATTTATCTCAAGGAAATGGCTCATGTGGTTGTAAAAGCTGGCAAGTCCCAAGTTCGTGGGTTAAGCATCAGGTATCAGGCTGGAGGCATCTCCTGACTCACACAGCTGCAGGGGCTGATGAACCCAAGATTCACAAGTCAGACAGCAGGCTGCTGGCTTGCAGCTGCAAAGGCTGACTATTCCAGGATCAGCAGGTAAGATGGCAGGCTGCTGGCCCAAGTCCCAAGAACTGGAGATCAGAGGCTGACAAGCCAAATGCAGGATCCAGAGAAGAGCAAAAGCCAGCCAACTTTGCCAGAAAGTCCCCATATATTCGACGCAGGTCACACCCCCAAGGAAACTCCCTTTCAACTGGTTGGCTACTCAAAGCAGACACCACTATGGAGGTGATCACATTATATCAGATCTCATCATGGCAGTGATTACATCATTATACAACTGCCAAACTACATCATAACTGCCAAACCACTGAGAAGCATGGCCCAGCCAAGTTAACACACAGCCTTAATGATCACAGTGGGTATGCCAAATTTTTTTTTCTGAAAGGTTTGGAACATTAGCAGTGCTGTCTGTGGGGTTTTTATTTTCTATTAACTTTAATTACAGAACTTAGGATTACTTTCAAGGTCCCAGGCAATATCCTGTATTCTAGACATATTCTCCATACTCGCCATTAACCTCAATGTGTGGTCACGATCAATTCATAGTCAGGATGAATCACCCCACTCAGTACAATAAATCTCTTTTTTATCTGTAGATTCTCTGGCATGAGGAGCCCAAAGTAGCCAAATGGTAGTTTCAACTTCAAGTTTAAAGTTTCAACTTTAATGGAACCATTGTCATGTCCCCTGGTGGAAGCATTTGTACTTAAAAATTTCTTTTTACCTATTATAAAAAATTATTTTTTATTGTTGTAAAAAAATACATAACACACAATTTTGCCAATTCAACATTTTTTACATGTACAATTCACTGACACCAATTACGTTAATTACCTTGTACAACCATCAGTATCCGTTGCCAAGTCTTCTATCACTATAAACAGATACTCAGGAAAAATTCCTACTTTTGAAGTTAATAACTCTAAATCAGTGGTTCTCAACTGGAGCAACTTTGATCCTCAGGGGACATTTGGCAATGTCTGGAGACATTTTTGGTTGTCACAACCAGGGAAGCCAGGGGGAGAGGATACTGGCATCTAGTGAGGAGAGGCCAGGAACGTTGCTAAACATTCTACAATGCGTTAAGACGGTCCCCTACAACAAAGAATTATACAGTCCAATATGTCCATAGTGTTGAAGTTGAGAAACCCTGCTGTAGATCAGCAGAGCCCAAAGTTGTGGGGATGGGAAGCACAAATTTTACTAGGAATAATAAGAGGATTGACTCTCATTTTTACTCCTTATTTCCCAGGCTTATAAATCCTGGCTGTGGACATAATGGAGCCCTGGTGGCACAGTGGTTAAGAGCTTGGCTGTTAACCAAAATGTTGGCAGTTTCAATCTACCGCCATCTCCTTGGAAATCCTATGGGGCAGTTCTCTCTCTGAGTCAGAATCGACTTGACAGCAACGGGTTTTTTGTCGTTGTTGTTGTTGTTTTATGGACTTAATACATTGATTGCTGATTTATAGCATATACTGCTTCCTGGAGGACATTGTTCCAGCCCCATAAGGTACTGCATTTAGCTAGTGCTGTAACTGAGTCAAGAGCCCATTCCATCTCCTATCATGCCAGCTGTTTTATGATGATAGGGAATATCATTTATCTATTGTCACATAGCAAATCATCCCAAAACATACTGGTTTAAAAAGAATAAATATTTATTTTATTAAGTTCTTTGTTGTCAGGAGTTCAGGTACTGCTTAATTGGATGATTCTGTCCTGGTCTCTCAGAAAGTTGCAGTCAAGATATCTGCTGGCATTGCAATCATTTAAAGGCTTGACTTGGACTGCAAGGTCTACTTCCAAGGTGGCTCACTCACATGGCTGGCTGTCCACGTAGACCTCTCCACAGCCTTCCTAAGTGTCTTCATGACTTGGCAACTGGTTTCCTCCCAGGCAAGTGATTTAGAAGAGAAGGCAGAAGCTACAAGGCCTTTTATGATCTTGCTTCAGAAGTCATGCACCATCATTTTTGCCATATGCTTTTTATTAGACATGAGTCACTAAATCCAGTCCACATTCAAGGGGAGAGAAATTAGGCTCCACTGTTTGAAATGAGGAGCGTTAAAGAATTTGTGAACATATTTCAAAACTACCGCATCATCAGTTGAGTTTTTAATTTCTGAATTATACACATTATTTCCTTTTCAATTCCTGTATGCCATTTTTTATCGTTTCCTTTTCTCCTGCAGACGTTTTCAAGCCTGTCTTTTCTTTTTTAAGATATTGTTTCAGTTAAATATTCCTGTGCAATAAACTACTTTAAAACTTAGTGGCTTAAAACAACCACCATTTACTTAGTTTACAATTCCCTGGGTCAATAGTTTGGGCTGCGGTCATTCAGGAGGTTCTTCAGTTCTCTGCTGGATTCTATCATGTCTGAGGTCTGCTGTGGGTTGGCTAGGTGGTTTGCTTTTAGGGGCTGACTGGATGTTGGCTGTGATATCTTTGCTCCCCTCCATTTGTCTCATCCTTCACTTCCTTATCCTCAGCAGGCTGAACTGGGTTATTCTCTTGCAAGAGACAGGAGTTCAAGAGAGAGAGAAAGAGAGCAGTCACATACAAGTCCTGGTAGGCTACTCCCTACTGCACACTGTTGGCCAAAGCAAGTCACAAGGCCAACTCAGATTAAAGAGGAAAGGAAATCCATTCCACCTTGATGTGAGGAGTTGCGAAGTCGAGTGCAGAGGATGCGGATACAGGGATGGGTGGAGAATTTGGACCAGTTTTGAAACCAACCTACCACAAACATACGTAGCCTTTTATAGTCTTTATCTGAAAATGCCAGTATCAGGTGTCTTTGCAGGTCAGTTTTTCTTGTTTGGTGTTTCTACTGTTTTTTACTTATTAAATCTAATCTCCTTTTATGCCTTTGTAACCGCACCCTTCCAGGTCTGCTCCGTGCGGCTGCAAAGACATGAAGCGGTGAAAGCGGAAGAAGATTTATTTAGTTGGCCAAGTAAAGGAGCCCACTGGGACTTGTGTTGCCAAGGTAGCTCCCTGAGCAATGGCCGTAGGGGTTTATATGGGTAGAGTAAAATTGGGTCTGAGGTCTTCAGGGACGCCCCAAGGTGGGGTCAGCCTGCTGATTGGATTGGCCCATAAAGGCCATTCTGCGGCTGTCCGATCTTATGCGCCTGCTCAGTCTAAGGTGGGGGACACAAAGATGGCCTTTTGCACACGTCCTGGTCATAGACGGGGCTGTGTTTTTCGGCCTCTGACCTCAGTAGGTCATCCAAAGGACACTGTTGTCAGTACTGCGCATGTCAGGCGGGCAAAACCTGGTTCCAGATCAGTTTCAACTCGTCTTGAGATGCCAGTCTCTTGTTTTTCTTAACTGAGCCGAACCCGAAGTATATCTAAATAATGAGATACCTTAAAGACAGGGAGTTAGTTCCTACATTACCTAATAAGGAGATAGCTTACGTGCAAGGAGTTAGTTCTCATATCACATAGGAATGGCAGGCACCACCCCTTGCTTATTCAAGATGGTGGGGGTGCTATTGGCCTCACCTTGGTATCTTTTGATGTAAGCTGGACATTGTATGTGAAAAATTATATGTGATAATAATTTTGAGTTCTATAATATAGTATTTTCCTCCAAAGAGGAGGTACTACTAGTATTTACTTAATACAGTTCTGTTTTCCTCCTAATATTCAGTAATGATCCGTGTACAAAAGAAGGTAGTTGTGTATAATATAAACAAGAGGGAAAAATAGAACTTCTCTGCGGAAGATATCTAGCTTCATAGAACTCACTTTTATTGTCTGTGAGGTGGCTCCTGATTCATGCCAGGAATCAAACAGTCCCTTCATTATAGAATCAATCAGGCTCTCTGGCATTAGTCCAACCTACAGTTTAAGCCTTCCTCTTTGCCATTTCCTTTTACTGGCTTTAGGTTAAGTAAAGCTGAACAATTCACTGTTTTTCAAATATATGCTGTATTTTCCTCCCTTGATATTTTTATTCATACAATTCTCTCCACTTGGAACACCCTTTTCACCAGTAACGTCATCTCTTCCTATGGAAATTATCTCCAGCGGTATCTCAAATCCATCATCCCTTTCAAGAAGACTTCCCAACCGTATGTGGTTTTCTTCTCTTCTGAATCCTCTTAGCTCTTAGTACTTTTTAATGGACTTTTCCCTTTAGAGTTACTTGTGTACTTATTTTAATCTCATTAGATTGTAGAGACCCTGCAAGTTACATAACCTGTCTACACCTCTGCTTCCCCATCTGAAAAATGCAAAAGATAATAGTACATATCACGTAGAGTTGTTGTGAGGATTAAATGCGCTAATAGCCGTATTAGTAGAGTAAGTGCTCAAATAAATGTTGGCTACTGCTACCATTCCTTAGAAACACTGTGGTTTCCAATGAACTCGTTATCATCAAAGAAAAGAGATTCTAAGGACTAATCTAACCCGTTGCATTATCTACTCATAGTGACCCAATAGGACACAAAAGAACTGCCCAATAGGGTTTTTAAGGACAACCTAGTAGGTTTGAACGGCCGACTTTGTACTTCGCAGCCGAGCTCTTAACCATTAGCGCCACCAGGACACCTAAGTTTTAAAGTTCTACTCAACAGTTGAGATAATGAATAAATACGGCGGCACATGCGCAGCGCAAGCGACCATGCGCAGAGCCTCGGGGAGCGGGACGCCAGGGCGCGTGCGCGGGGCGGGGTGGCGCCGGCGGCGCGAAAGCCAGGGGCGGAGCTTGCGGCCCTTCTCGTCGCGGTGGAGCCGGTGTCTTCACGGTCTGGAAGCTACTGTTGTCTGCTTGGCTCGTGTCTCGCGGCTCGCGGCTCTCGGCTCGTGAGAGGGAGGCCCCTGACGGGGTAATGGATTTTGAGAATCTTTTCTCCAAACCTCCCAACCCGGCCCTCGGCAAAAAGCCGGCCACGGACTCTGACGAAAGGTGATCCCTATCTTTTCATCTTTTGACCGCAGAGGCGCGAGCCCGATCCCTCCCCGCTTCTTCACTGGAGGCTGCACCCGGCCGCGCCACCAGGTCCCGCGGGAGCGCGTGGGGCCAGCGCTCGGGACCGGCCAGGCCGGACCGCGAGGTCGTTTGGGGCAGAAAGGGAAGAAGCCGGGACTGGGGGTGGGGGGTGGGGGAGACCAATTTGTAGGCCTCCATGGCCAGAAGTTCCGAGAGCCTGGGCGACAGGAGGGACGGGTCCAGGTGGTCATCCGGGTGGAGCGAGGGAGACTCCAGGGTGCTCCCCTGTGTCCGGTTACGTGCCCCTGGGGATATAGTCCGCTATAGACTGGCCTTGGAGCCCGCCTCTGGTTGCTGGGAACATCGCTACTTAGCCCCGTTGCCTGTTTCCTGGACCACAGCCTCCTACAGGACAGGGCCTTTCACTTAACAGATACTAGGATCTCCTTGGTAGAAAGGACCAAACCATAGATTCATAAAATGGTGAACTGTCTCTTTAGGCCATTATTTGCACTACAAGTAGATCGTAAAGACCATAATAGCATGAAACTCCTTTGGATTACAGTATTGGAACCCTGGTGGCGCAGTGGTTAAGAGCTCGGCTTTTAACCGAAAGGTCGGCAGTTCGAATCCACCAGCCCCTCCTCGGAAACCCTAGGGGGCAGTTCTACTCTGTCGTATAAGGTCGCTATGAGTCAGAATCGACTTGACAGCAACGGGTTTCGGGTTAGGTTGAAAAAGGAACCAGCGAACCTTGCTGGCCAAATGGCACTAATTTGTTGATTTCATTCTTGGAGACGTGTATAATGTAGTTTATGCCTAGATAGTCATTCGCTTTTTTCTTTTGAGTTAAAAGTGGTAAAGGGAGGAAAAACCATATTTTCTTCTGTGTTTTCTGTGTTCCCCCATTTCTCTAAGCTGAAACCTTGACGCATGTCCTTTATACCTTTAGTACCCTCATCCCGATACATTTCTGATTCTGCCGACTTTTACCTCCCGGTATCACTTACATCCTTTCTCTGTCTCCGTCTCTAATACTTTAATTGCCTGAAATGATTAAATCAGGATACCACTAAGAACTTTACTGTGTGCTTTCTGTAAAACATATCATCTAATCCTTACAACCACCTCAAAAAAAAAAAAAAAAGATACTGTCCTCATTTTACAGATGAGAAAACTGAGACAGAGAGGTTGAATAATGTAACAATATGGCACAACTGAAGTGGTAAAACTAAGATTAAGTTGCCCAGTCTGATTCCAGAACCTATGATTTTATCACTACTCTAATACAAGATGACCGAAATAGAATAAGACCTATAAATAGAAAACAAAAACACTAATTGCTGATGATATGATCATTTACTTAGGAAAGCAAGAGGAACCAATTGATAAACTATTAAAATACATAGGCGAATTCAGCAAGGTGAATCATCATAGAAAGCACAAGTTTTGTTAAGTGCCGTCAAGTCATTTCCGACTCATCGCGACCCTGTGTACAACAGAAGGAAACACTGCCCGGTCCTGTGCCGACCTCACATGCTTGAGCCCATTGTTGCAGCCATTGTGTCAGTCCATCTTGTTGAGGGTCTTTCTCATTTTCACTGACCCTCCACCAAGGATGATACCCTTCTCCAGGGACTGGTCCCTCCGGATAACATGTCCAAAGTACGTGAGATGAAGTCATCCTCGCTTCTAAGGAGCATTCTGGCTGTATTCCTTCAAAGACGGATTTGTTCATTCTTCTGGCAGTCGGTGGTGTATTCAGTATTTTTTGCCAACACCATAATTCAAATGGGTCATTTCTTCTTCGGTCTTTATTATTAATTTTCCAACTTTAGCAAGCGTATGAGGCGATTGAAAATACCGTGGCTTGGGTCAGGTGCACCTTAGTCCTTAAGGTAACATCTTTGCTTTTTAACACTTTAAAGAGATCTTTTGCAGCAGATTTGCCCAGTGTAATACGTCATTTGATTTCTTTCCTTTTTTTGTGTGTGCTTTAGGTGAAAGTTTAAGCTCAAGTTAGTTTTTCATACAAAAATTTATATATACATTGTTATGTGACCCTAGTTGCTATCCCTATAAGGTGAGCACACACTCCTTTTTTCCTCCCCAGATTGCCTGTGTCCTTTCAACCAGCTCCTGTCCCTTTCCGCCTTCTCATGTTGCCTCCGGACAGGAGCTGCCCGATTAGTCTTGTGTATCTACTTGAACTAAGGAGCACACTCTTCACAAGTATCATTTTATGTCTTAAAGTCTAGTCTAATATTTGTCAGAAGAGTTAGCTTGGAATGATTTTAGTTCTGGGTTAACAAAAAGTCCAGGGGCCATGTCTTCTGGGGTTCCTCCAGTCTCAGTCAGACCATTAAGTCTGGTCTTTTTTTTAGAATTTGAGTTCTGTACCCCACTTTTCTCCTCCTCCGTCAGGGACTCTCTTTTGTGTTCCCTGTCAGGGTGGTCATTGGTGGCAGCCAGGCACCATCTAGTTCTTCTGGTTTCAGGCTGATGGAGTCTCTGGTTTATGTGGTCCCTTTTGTCTCTTGTGTCTTTGGTGTTCTTCATTCTCCTTAGCTCCAGGTGGGTTGGGACCAAGTGATGCATCATCCATGGCCGCTCGCAAGCCTTTAAGACCCCAGATGCCACTCACCAAAGTGAATGCAGAACATTTTCTTTTTCTTTTTTTTATTGTTGTAGTTTAAGTGACAGTTTACAATTCAAGTTAGTGTCTCATGCAAAAATTTATACCTACACTGTTATGTGATCCTAATTGCTCTCCCTATACTGTGACGGCACACTCTTCTTTTCCACTCCTGATTTCCCACGTCTGTTCAACCAGCTCCTAACCCTCTCTGCCTTATTATCTCACCTCCAGACAGAAGCTGCCCATTTAGTCTCATGTATCTACTTGAGCTAAGAAGCACACTCTTCATGAGTATCATTTTATGTCCCACAGTCCAGTCCAATCCCTGTTTAAGGAGTTGGCTTTGGGAATTGTTTTAGTTCTAGGTTGACAGAGAATCCAGGGGCCATGCTTTCTGGGGTTCCTCCAGTCTCAGACCATTAAGTCTGGTCTTTTTACTAGAATTTGAGTTCTGTATCCCATCCTTCCCCCACTACATCAGGGACTCTCTGTTGTGTTCCCTGTCAGGGTAGTCATTAATGGTAGCCAGGCACCATCCAGTTCTGGTTTCAGGCTGATGAAGTCTCTGGTCTGTGTGGCCCTTTCTGTCTCTTGGGCTAATACTTTGCTTGTGTCTTTGGTGTTCTTCATTCTTCTTTACTCCAGGTGGTTGGGACCAATTGATGCATCTTAGATGGCCACTTGGAAGGTTTTAAGACCCCAGATGCCACTCACCAAAGTAGGATGCAGAACATTTTCTTAATCAGCTTTGTTATGCCACTTGACCTAGATGTCCCCTGAAAGCATGGTCCCCAGACCCCTATCCCTGCTACTCTGTTTCTCAAAGTGTTTGATGGTATTCAGGAAACTTCTTAGCTTCGGTTTAGTCTCATTGTGCTGACTTCCCCTGTAATGTGTGCTGTCCTTCCCTTCACCTAAGATAATTCTTGTCTACTATCTAGTTAGTGGATAACTCTCACCCTCCCTCCCCGCCCTCATAACCATCAAAGAATGTTTTCTTCGGTGTTTAAATAAACCTTTTCTTGAGTTCTTATAATAGTGGTCTTATATAATATTTGTCCTTCTGTGACTGACTAAATTCACTCAGTGTAAAGCCCTCCAGATTCCTCCATGTTATAAGATGTTTCGCTGCTTCATCGTTGTTCTTCAACATTGGGTAGTATTCCATTCTGTGACTATACCATAATTTGTTTATCCGTTCGTCCATTGATGGGCAGCTAGGTTGTTTCCATCTTTTTGCTGTTGTGAACAGTGCTGCAGTGAACATGGGTGTGCATATATCTATTCGTGTGACGGTTCTTGTTTCTCTAGGATATATTCCAAGGAGCGGGATAGCTGGATCGTATGGTACTTCTATTTCTAGCTTTTAAAGGAAGCGCCAAATCAATTTCCAAAGTGATTGTACCATTTTACATTCCTTCCAACAGTGTATAAGTGTTCTAGTCTCTACACAACCTCTCCAGCATTTTTTATTTTGTGTTTTTTGGATTAATGCTAGTCTTGTTGGGGTGAGATGGTATCTCATTGTAGTTTTGATTTGTATTTCTCTAATGACTAATGATCATGAGCATTTCTTCATGTGTCTGTTAGCCGCCTGAATGTCTTCTTTGACGAAGTGCCTGTTCATATCCTTTGCCAATTTTTTAATTGGTTATTTGTCTTTTTGTTGTTGAGGTTTTGCAGTATCTTGTAGGTTTTAGAGATTAGACACTGATGGGATTTGTTGTAGCCAAATTTTTTCCCAGTCTGTAGGTTGTCTTTTTAGTCTTCTCGTGAAGTCTTTCGATGAGCATAAGTGTTTGATTTTTAGGAGCTTCCAGTTATCTAGTCTCTCTTCTAGAACATTTTCTTAATAAACTTTGTTATGCTAATTGACCTAGATGTCCCCTGAAACCATGGTTCCCAGACTCGCACCCACCCCTGCTACACTGTCCGTCGAAGTTTTTGGTTGTGTGCAGGAAACTTCTTAGCTTTTGGTTTAGTCTAGCTGTGCAGATTTCCCCTGTATTGTATGTTGTCCTTCCCTTCATCTAAGCTAATTCTTGTCTACTATCTAGTTAGTGAATAACACCCTCCCTCCCTCCTTACCCTCGTAACCATCAAAGAATATTCTCTTCTGTGTTAAACCTTTTCTTGAGTTCTTATAACAGTGGTGTCATACAATATTTATCCTTTTGGAACCGACTAATTTTACTCAGCATAATGCCTTCCAGATTCATCCATGTTATGAGATATTTCACATATTTATCGTTGTTCTTTATTGTTGTTATTTATCCATTGTGTGAATATACCAAAATTTATCTATTTGTCTGTTGCTGGCCACCTAGGTTGTTTCCAT